GAGTTCGATCCCAGGTACCGCCCCCCCCAAAGGTAATGTTTTATTTTTAAATCTCAAATTAGAAATATCTTGGTGTTTACTTAATAATTCATGAAAATAATTTTCTAAATATTCCAAGAAATTTTAGAATAACATACAATAAAGGGATAAGAGAAACTTTCTTAACCAACACACAAAATTCAAATGTTACTTAAAAAATACTAACATTTTTCTGTATTAAAAATACTGAACACACAAGCCAAGTGACACACACCTATAACCCCAGCACTTGAGAGGCTGAGGCAGTAGGATTGCCAAGAGTTCAATGCCAGCCTGGACTACATAAGAAAATTCAAGGCCAGTCAGCACTACACAGTAAGACTTTGTCTCAAAAAAAATAACAAGCAACCTCCCCCAAATATCAAAAGATGACACAGAAACAGAAATTAAGCATGAAAATCAGAAGACTGATCCCCATTATAAAAAAAAATCAGGTTATACATTTTGAAAGTTAAAACTTTGAAATACAATGATTATCTTTTTACATGTACACCTGAATCTTCTTTCAAATGTCTACTTTATCATATCTTGAATCACCTTAACAGTTATTATTACCATCAAAAACAAGTTTTGGGCTATCTATCTTTTTCCTGGATCACCCCTGCTTTGGCATGCTTTGTCCTCTTTTTCCTCCGTACAAATAAAATGTCATTCCCTAATGACAAAAATACAGCGTAAAGTTCATCTAGAATGGAAAGGATTCACGAAGGAGTTCTACAGCATCCCCCAAACACAGCTCCCTCTAGAGTCTCCACTAACTACCCATCACGTACAACTATAAAACAGAAAAGGGGGAGATTTGGGGGCAGCTGAAGTTGGAGATTGATCCCACGTGGGGCCAGAGCAAGTCTAGTCTCAAGAACAGAGAACACCTGAGGATATGAAAATGGCTAAAGTGCTCTAATCTCAAGAACATTGTGTTCCTGAGACAAGCCACAAGGATAACTCTTAGGCAGAGAGGTTTCATACGATACTCAATCTCCCAAGTGTATAAATAAATATGCTGCACCTGTTGGAGCTCTCGCCTCCTTTTCCTTCCTTCCCATCAAGAGAGAGCTCCATGTAGCATCAGTTCTCCATAAAGAAATAAAAATTTTTAAAAAATAAAGTTTACAGCTTGTTATAAAAAGTATTTAGAAAAATAGGCAAAAGACACTATTCAAAAATGAAAAATACAGAGGAGCAAGTTTACATGTTAAAGTTAGCAAATAAGCTTAAATCCACCAGGAGTTAAGAGCATGCAAATTCAACACTGTGATATTTTATATCCATTAGACTGGCAAATATTAAGAAGAGATATAGCCAGGAATGGTGGCACATGCCTGTTTATTACAGAACTCAGAAGGCTGAGGCAGCAGGATCACAAAGTTGAGGCTAACCTAGGCTACACAGTGACTTCCTTTCTCAAAACACAAAAAGAGAAATTCTCTTTCTCTCTCTCTCTCTCTCTCTCTCTCTCTCTCTCTCTCTCTCTCTCTCTCTGTCACACACACACACACACACACACACACACACACACACACACATAAACACACACACATACACACACAAAAGTACTTGGTGGTCCCATATTTTGCTGGTAGAATGTTTGGTATTAAAACCTTCTTGAAAAGCACTCTAGCAATGTCTACTAAAATGATGCAAATCCTTTCTCTCACACCCTCCACTGTTTGCAAAATATACACAAATTAATAAACAATGATATAATAAACAGTGACCTACATTAAAGAATTTATTGTACATTTACTCAAGGATTTTTTTTGTTTGTTTGTTTCTTGGGGGTTTTTTGGCGGGGGGGGGGGGGGGGGGCGGGGTAGAGGGTACCGGGAATCAAACTCAGGACCTCATGCTTCCCAGGCAGGTGCTATGCTGCTGAGCTACATGCCAGCCCCACAAAGATTGTTTTTGTAAATTTATTCAATGTGGTCCTAGCTTCTTGGGAAGCGGAGACAGCAGGATCACTTGAATACAGGAGTTTGAGTCCAGTCTGGGTAACATAATTAGACTGTGGGTGAGGGAGAAACATGACACATGAAATTACTACACACAGTGAAAAAAGAGGAGACAAAGAAAAATGAATAATGAAAGGCTATAGTTATGTAACCCTATATTCAAATCCTAACTCACTTAAAAGTTAAATGATGCCTCTAAGGCATATCTACCTCCTCATTAAAAGAGGCATTCATAGTATCTTCATTTAAATGGTTACTGCGGTAGATAAATGTATGCCTATTAAATATTCTCTTTTTCTTAAGAGATCTTCTATTTTATTCTTAGCAACAACAGGCTCAGCTACAAGACTGCAATTTACAGTTTTCTTTGATAGTAGGTTGGTCTATGAAACATAAACTTCAGTCTATAGGTAGTTTCTGAGAAAAATCCTTTACAGAAGCTGATTGCTAACCAGGTGTGGTGGGGCACACCTATAACCCCAGCACTTGGGAGACTGAGACAGGAGGATTGTTCAGAGTTCGAGACCAGCCTGGGCTACAAAGTGAGCTCAAAGCCAGCCTGAACTGCAGTGAGACCTGCCTCAAAAAGACAAAAAAAAAAAAAAAAAAAAAGCAGCAGCAGCAGCAGCAAATTACTATCCACTGGTCATCTTAGAACACCAGGCCATCTTGAAACTGGAAGTCATACACTAAGGATATGATAGAGAAAGCTGAAGGTACATGGATTCCCAATAATTACAAAACTGTAATTATTACTTCATTATAAGCAATAAATTTCTATTATGTTTCTATTACATTCAGTTAAATCTCAGTATCAGAATTTTAAAAAGAATACATGTAAGGTTTTTCATAAACTGGTATAGTGCAAGTAATCAAAATAATAAATTTCTGAATCCAAGTAACTGTTCTTCATGAAGAAATTAGTAATGCTAATAGTTTTCCTTTGAAACTGTCAAGCTGGTTGTGGTCAATGAATTTACTCTATCAGTAAAAAATGTATTACTGTGGTAAAGAACCATTTAATGAATTAAGCCTTTAATCCTAGGAAACAGCTATCTGAATACACTAAATAAAAACAATCTTTGGGGCTGAGGATTTAGTTTAGTGGCATAAGCATGGGCCTTGCAAGCGCATGGTTGTGAGTTCAATTTCCGGTATCAAAAAATAAAAATAAAAAACAATCTTTGTATACTATTTGAACTTCTTTCTAACTTTACATAAAGTAGCATGAATGAAGAAACATGAATTAAGACATATTCACTTTTTGTCACTTTATTAAGACATAGTCACTTTTTGTCACCATATTCTTGAAAATCCACAACACAGTCTTGTGACAAATGAACTACATACAAGTTAGACAACCTAGCTTCTCTTTTCATCTGCATATAATGAACCATTCCTCCATTCCTCCTCCTCCCCACCCACATACTGGGGATTAAACCCAGGGCTGATTTATTTAGAGACAGGGTCTCAAATCCCTCAACTGCCCAGACAAGGATGGAGCTTCCAATATCTCTGCCACAGTCTCCCACAACACTGGGATTATAGGTGTATGCTGCCAAGCTCTTAAGATCACTCTTCTTTTAAATCTCATTTGCTAAAGACACTCTTTAAACTGAACCTCCCAATTCCATTGATGGGGGTAGACTCTACCAATATACATGCACCAATAATTAGTAGGTACTAATTTTGCTGAAGGTTTCAAAATGATTATATTATAACCCAAGAGGGCAGAATCTGATCTACAAAACAAATATCTGAGTCTTCCTAGTAGTCTTGGGCAATGAATACAAGCTAAGTCTAGCACTACAATAGTCATTTTGAGACACTTAGCTAAAATAAAACAAATCTTCCAGGCATGAATCCTAAAACAAAGAAGGCCCAAAATGACCATCTTTGAAGTTGCAGACTTCCTCAGTATCTACATAGTGGCTTGCCCTAATCACTCTTGGACAAGGTGTCTATATTTCTGAATCATCTTCAAGGAGAGATGCTAATCTCTCCTCCCAACTCTGCCTCTTCAGCTTCCAAGATTCTCTTAATAATAAACTACCGGATAAAACTGGTAAAACTCCACAAGACCGTGGAGAAAATAAAAGGTAACCTTTCTTTTTTTTCAGAGTTCGAGTTCAAGTTTTTTTTTCAAAAGTGCCTTGTCAATATTCTGTTTTGATAAGTTCTGTAATATTCTGTGTTCGGTGTAATTTTGCTACACCTGATTGAAAGGACAACTATTATAGCAAGATATACTATTGTACCTATTACTGTTATCCTGGTGACCTGCTGTGACAGTCTGTATCAATTTCATGGCATTGTCTCAATTGATTTTGTTCTGTCTTGTTCTGTTGTATTTTGCTACCTTCAAAATAATAGATTAAAAAAAAAAAAAGAACGAACGAAAGAAAGCATCCTGCTTTGTATTCAGGCTGGCCTTGAACTCACTATGTAGCACAGGCTGGTCTAGAACCCACAGCAATATTTGTGCCTCACCCTCCTGAGTGATTACAGGTGTAAGCCACCATGCCAGGCACAACGGCAACCCTTATTTCAACATTTGTATCCAACACTTGATAAAAGACTCTGCCTTTAATTTTCAGCTTTGGAGGAGAGAGTGTTGGGAATAGAACCTAGGACCTCACACTTGCTAGGCAAGCATTCTAGTCTTCCACTGAGCAAATTTCCACTCCTCCAGCTTCATGATATTGGAGAGAATGAAGCAAGAAACCACTATGCATCAGAAATATTAATACCACATGGCAGGTATAGGGCCTCAATTATAGCAGCTGGGTTACAGCTTTAAGATGAAGTGGGAATCTTGTTCTCACTTTAAGACTATTGTTACTGAAACTTTAATAAGTAAAGCAGCAGATTACAACCTTTATTTAAAACCTATTTGGTTCATTTCTATTACCAACATATAAAATTTGGCAAAGGTATGTTCAGAATGAGTATTCAAAAATTATTTGGTGAAAATAAGGAATAAAAAAACACATATATTCCAATACCTACACTTTCTTGCCTGACTCTGCTTTCCTGACAGAGTGGCCCAATCATAATCTTTCTCTTAGGAACCTGAAATTTAAATGGATATAGAGGAAGATTAAAAGGGTTAAATATAACTGCTTTCTAGCAACACTGTAAAGATAGGCTCATCATGTTCTGTGGAGCACTCTGGAAGCAATATGTACGTCAGCCTAAATTCTGTGAAATAACCTATTATACATAATACTTGTGTTAGAGAAGATAGGTAGAGTCTATTTTATTGTGTGCAATAAAATGGACATCAAATAACTAAATCCACAGATAATTATGAGTCAGTTCTCCTTCAATATCAAGTAACAAAAAGTTACTTGACTGTAATTTACAAAAACATTACCAAACTAATTCCAAAGAGAAAGACATTCACAGATTCTACTGGTCAATCACTTAAAAAAAGAAAAAGAAATGTATATATGTATCCTTAAGAATTCTAGCTGACAAAATTTAGCCCTCATAAACAAGTACACATTTCTTAATGAGCTATAAAGTCTACTCAGGATTTATCCTACAGAAAGAACAACAAGCAAATAAAGATGTATATAGAAAAATGTACGAAGTATTGCTTATAATAAGAACAATATAATTTATATACATACGAAAGAGAAAGCTATATTATGATTCAACCATACAATAAAATACGGAGTAGCCATTAAAAAGAATAGGTCTTTACCCACTGACCCAGAAAAACATCTATGCAGTTGAATGAAAGAAGCCAAGAATGACATGATTCCTGCACACTCATACAAATCTCCATACACCACACATACATGTATACACACACACACACACACACACATACACACACACACACACACACACCCTTATATATACATGCTTTCATAGAAAAAAGTCTGGAAAGATATATATTAAACTTGTAACACTGGTTATCTTTGGAGAAATGGTAAAAACACTATTCACTTTCTCCCTTTATTCATTTCTATATTGTAAATTGCATGTATTACTTTTATAATCACAAAAAATAAAACTTTTATATGCTATAACATAAAGAATCTACAAGAAAGTTAAGAGACTAGAAAGTAGAAATCTTCAAAAATGGTAAGTATAATCATTTATCATTCACACTGACAAAGTTATTATTTCAACATATTAATAACCAAGAATAAAATATTGAAACAAATCTCACAATTCAAATTAACCTGCCAAAACTACTAAGCAAATATGAAGAGATCTAGACTAAATCTGAACAGACCATCACATAAACCAGCCCAAATTAAATGTTTGAATAGGTAAATGCTTTATCTATACTTACATCTATCTAAAGACATTATTATTTTTCTCAAATGGTACTTACAGTTCTCTACAATTTCATCAAAAACTGCACCACTTTTCTGTTCAAACTGAAAAAGCAAAAACAAAAAATAGGAAAGTAATGTTATTTTTATACTTTTCAATCATAGTTTGACAGCCCTCCCAAGCCAAATTATGCACATACATCATAACATAAATAAAAACACCTCCATATAGAGGAAAATAAAATTGAAGATGAACAAAAAAAGTTTTCAGACCAAACACTGCAATTCAAAAACCAAGAGATAAATTACATCCTTTTCTTTCTTTCTTTTTGGCATGAGATTGAACCCAGGTAGATTGGGGCGTGGGGGACAAAGCCTGTTCTTCCTTCCTTCCTTTCTTTCTTTCTTCTTTTTTTTTTTCTTTTTTTCTTTTAATTTCTGAGACAGGTCTCTCAGTAAGTTGCCAAGGCTGCCCTGGTACTTGCAAGTATACAGCACGGAGCTTGGCTCCTCACAGCTTTTTAATTATTCTTATATCAGCAAAAAGTTATTTATAATAATGAACATAGTCAAAATTTATTAAAAATTTACTACACAAAACTTCTTACCAAAACTGAACTAAACTATTGGCAATAATAGTTGTTGTTCTTAGGCTTTTAAAACAAGTGATCTATGTTTCTGGGATGGTTCCTATTGAGTATGTTAAGGTTTAAGAGAGAAGTAGAGCCAAGTAGAGCCCAAAGTAATTAAAACAGTAGGAGGAAAAAAAGTAAAGCATACGCAACTGCAGCTATGAACTAAAAAGAAAGCAGCATGCTATACCCAAAGTCTTTGGCAAGACCTACCATTCTAAACTTCTGTTCCACTGTCTATTATACACTAAAGACACAAAACACAAGGAATGCGACTTTTAGACAAAATTTGCTTACTATAACCTAGAATAAGCCACTCCACTGAAGGGACAAACTTTCAAGGGAAAGAAAATTATCTAACTACTTAATATAGCTGTAGAGGAAACAACAGTTAGCTAAAATAATCAATAGTTATCTGCTGTTCAGAAATAAGAACAGAAAACCAAAAATCACAAGTTTCTACAAGGATATAACACTTAAAGAAGGTTCAAGATGACAATGTAACTGAGAGTGGGATATTGGCAGGACTCTTAAGTAACAGCCTGAGAAAAAACAAGGAGACAGCTCCGATTTGTCTTTTGGCAGTAACAGTGGAAGGGGAGTAAATCAGGTTGAGCAAACAGCTGTATTACTTCAAACAAGAAAAAGAAGAATGTGGACAGACTATATGAAACCAGTGCGAGATAAGGTGTAAGCAAAGATGACAGTAGACCCTAAGCTTTCAAATTCACAATGTGTAGGAACTAAGCTCTACCCACTCTAGAAACCCTACCCCTTCTTTTTAAAACAATGAATAATTAATAGTGTACCTTTGAGTGCTCATCAAATAAAATGCCTCCTTTGGGCACAAGCTCTTGTTAAGCAGCAAGTTCTGCTGTCCTTTTTATGGAGCAACCCGTCTTGCATCTTAAAACTAAGTAGTCTACTTAACTGGCAGGTATATTTCTCTTCTGTAATACACTTTCACTTTAAGTTAATTGTAAGTAATAGATGCACAGTTTCTGTCTTATAAAAGGCAATTAATCACTGTAGAAAGTGACAAAACCACCCCAGAAAGGAACACTTTATTTACAGAAAAGACAATTCTAAACCAAGTGTGGTGGTTTATGCTTATAATCCTAGCACTTAGGAGACCAAGGCAGGAGGAGTTTGAGGCCAGTCTGGGTTATAGAGTGAGTTTGAGGCCAGCCTGAACTGCATAGCAAAACCATGTCTGAAAAAGACCAAAAAAAAAAAAAAAGGACAAAAAGTTGGAAGATGATTTATGTGATATGAAAGATCAAACCAACAGACATAGCAATTACAAAGGCACCCTGAAAGAAGAGAACAATTGTGAGGTAGGATAATAGACGAAAAAATTCTCTATATTGAAAACATAAATATTCAAGATTGAACAGGCCCACCCAATACGAAAGAGATAACAGAGAAAGAATATATATCCTAGTGAATGCCAAAATTCCAAAAGAACAAAAAGGCTTTTAAAGACAAACAATATAGATAATTAATAAAACACATGTAACTGAATTCAATTATATAAGCATTAAACAAATAGTGAAGGGAAATCTACCTACTGTTCGACTCAATTGGCTATGCTCTAGAATAAAAGGGAAATGGGAGGTGTGATTCATGAAAAAACCCTGCTCACTGATGGTAAATCTATCCACTTAATACATATGGGGCTGGTGATTTAGCTCAGCGGCGTAAGTACCTGCCTTGCAAGTAGGTGGTTGTGAGTTCGATCCACAGTACCGGAAAAAAGGAAAAATAAAAAAAATTTTAAAAAAAGATACATACATACCATATATATATAGATAGATAGATAGATAGATAGACAGACATATAGAGAGAGAGAGATACACACACACGCACGCACGCACACACGCACATATACTTTTGGGGGGGGTACTAGAAATGAACTCAGGACCTTGCACTTGCCAGGCAAGCACTATGCCACTGAGCTTTATCTCTGGCCCTATATTTTAGTATGTGATACTGTTCCTGAACACTTTACCTGACTCAACCACGCTATAGGGGAAAAAAAGGGAAAAAGGGACTAAACAGGAAAAAAAATTGTCATGGATGGTATTATTAAGAGGTATTATACTTTATGGACGCCTTAAGGGACTATGTGTCTTTTCACCTTAAAAGTTAACAAAGATCAGGTTTTATTCTAACTCAAGAGTCTTAATATTCCAACATCTCCATAAACTGGAACACAAAAAAAGATCAACTTTTCACACTGTCCTTAGACGGAGGAAAAAAATGTAACTTAGACATTCAGATTTTCTTATGAAAATTATTTAACAAAATCACAACTAAAAGTTACTGACATTATACTACACAAAAGGAATGAAATCTAAGGCTGGGTCCAGTGGCAAATGCCAATAATTCTAGTACTCTGGGAGCCTGAGACAGGACAATGCCAAGTTTGAGTTCCAGACTGGAAAATTTAGTTTTAGAGACCCTCATCAAAATAAAAAACAGAAAAATGACTGGAGATGTAGCTCAGTGTGAAAGTTTTAGGTTCAGTCTTCCAGAATAAAGAAAGAAAGAAAGGGGGCAGAGGGATTATACAGAAAAACAAGAAGGGGGATAGGGAAGAGAACAAAGAGGACCAAGTAACTGATTACTGCTCCGAACAAATGAACCTACAGAAAAAGAAGAAAATCAAGTTGGTGGAACTTTAGAAGATGCTCAATGGCAAAGATTCCAGGATTAAATCTCTTTCTCTCCTAGTTCAAAACCAAACTTGTCTTGCTACCTCTCTCTCCTTTGTTCCCTCTCAAAACAAAAACACGGGCTGGGGATTTAGCTCAGCAGCACAAGCATGAGTTTGATCCTAGGTTCCAAAAAAATAAAAATAAAAATAAAAACAAATGCACACTGCCTCTTGATCATTAATTTCTAGGTCTATTCATAAACAGACACAATAGTATACATAAAGTCCTTTTTTCAACATAGAATATACAGTTTAAAGCCACAGAAAAAATAGATTAGTTATTCAAGGCTGGAAGGATAGGGAAAATTTTATTAATGGATATGTACAACCCTGGACATAATAGTCCCTCCTTATCAGCAGAGGATGTTTTTCAAGACTCCCAATGGATGCCTGAAAATTATGGATAGTACTGAACCCTACTCATACTATGTTTTTTCCCTACACTTATATGCCTATGATAAAATTTCAGTTACAAATTAGGCACAGTAAGGGACTGACAACTACTACTAATAGAACAATTATGCTGCAATGTTATGTGAAAAATGTGGTCTTGAAATCTTTTATTGTAATATAATATTCATCCTTGTGATGAAGTAAGATGAAATAATGTCTGTGTGATGAGATGAATGGTGTAGGCACTATGATGGTTACTAGTAAGTGTTAATTGATTATAAGAACTTCTACCTAATAACCCAAGTGACTATACTGGACAGGTACTGTCGGCATCAATGATATGCTAAGGGAATTATTCACATTGCAGGCAGGACAAAGCACAATGAGAAGATTTCTTCACAGTAGCAGAATGGGAATAGCTTAATATTTAAAAATCATTTATTTCTGGAAATTCCCATTTACTTTAGTTGACTATGAGTAACTGACACTGCAGAATGGGAAGCTGCAGAAAATAAAACCTCAGATAAAGAAAGACAATTGTATACTAAAACACAATGAATGGTACATCAACTGGATGGGATTCATAGTATGTGAATTACACACAACTATTGTAAAAGCACAGAGAAGTACACTTCAATAATATTTAGGTACTAAAAACCTGGGAGGCACTAGTGAAACAATACTAACTACAGATCTGTTATGTGGCCATACACTAGTAATTTTGAAATATATATTCAAATGTGTTAATAAATATGTTTACTACAAAGAAGCCCTTCAAGGGCAATTAGTGCTATAAGCTACACAATCATTTTGATGCAAATCTCTTCATATATTTGAGCTCCTTGAAAAAGCACAGCATCAATGGATAATCTAGTTTTGTCTGTTTTTTTTTTTTTTTTTAAATTGGTATCAGGGATTGAACTCACAACTACATACTTCTAAGCACAGGTGCTTATGCCACTGAGCTAAATCCCCAGCCTTGGAAAATCTAGTTTTGAATTACTTTAGTTTACTTTTATTTAATTCAAATCTGCTAATAAATACTCAGCATTGTGCAAGCAGAGAATACAATAGTGTCTCTGAAATGTTGGGGAAGATTCCAGAATATCTGCTTAGCCCATTCTCTCATTAATTGGATAACAAAAAGCATGTAACACCTAACTTTATGTGATCTCTATTTTACAGCTTTTCTTCCTCTTTGGATGCTAGGAATTGAACTCAGGTTCTCTTCTGTGCTAAGCATACATTACTACTACTGACCTACACCTCAGAACTATCCAATCTGTCCATTTATAAAAGTAGTGAAATAACAGGTTTTAATTTAGCTTAGAAATTAAGTTATACACTTATCCTTCAAGTTT